ATGGATAATTTTCAAATAATAAAATATGAAAATCCCATAATTTGAGAAGACAATAGATAAATAAAAGATAATAATTTTGTTATTAATCTATTTAAAAATACAAAATTTTTAGATTTTTAAATTAAATAGTAAATTTCTTCTTTTTGTTCAAATGACAATATAAAATTTTATAATCTTTTGTACATTTTTTGAAGATTTATTAGAGAATGATGATAATGTAACAAATGACAATCTTAATCAAAATAGGATAATACTTATGTATTTAAATTAAAAAAGTAAAAATTTACTATTATATACTTCAAGAATCAAGAAAATCTTAAGTAATTTAGTGAGATACTAAGATATATAATTTACTGGCATGTTCAGTAAGGGTTAATTTTTTTTAATTTAAAAATTCAAAAAATTTAAAAAGTGAAAATTTACTATTTAATTTAAATTTTCAAAAAAATTATATCTTTGAATAAAAAAAATGATAAAGTCATATTTTTATCTTAACTTTTTATAATCAATTGATAATTCATGAAAAATCAATGTGTTGAAGATACAAATAATTTCATTCAAGATCAAACAGAATACAAAAAGAATTTTTATCTTTCTTAGGGTAGCTCAATACATCCAAGTCCATATTATTTCTATGACTTAGTTTAGGTTCTGTTCTAACTAATAGTCTTCTGGACTAATATATCATTAATTTAGGTTTTTTTCTTTCTCCTATTAGGAGTGGTTTTTCACTAATGTCCATTTCCCATTCTTTGGGTAGCTTTATTTCAAAGATCATCTCTAGCCTTTGAATTTGTTCTATTTCAGAGAACATAGGATCTAATTCAATATATTCTTTATCTTTAAAAAAATTAGATTGATGGCTATTGGTCAATGTATAACTTATCATATAATAAATACTATACGGCATTAATCCATCTTTCATAAAAATTTTTCTAGCAAATTCATGTGCTAGACTTAGTGTTTTATTGATATTTCTTTCATTAATGTTTACAACATACTTTGGATATACTGTAAACATGAGTTTTGATAGCTAAGGTTACCTTGTACTAATCTTGGGATAGCATCCTTTCTATCATTAATTCTGTTATCTATCAAAGTTATCTTTATTGGGGTATCTATACCTTCTCTAAGATGAGCTTTAATAGGAATTTGAATTCCTCTTATATGGATAAACCCTATCCTTGATCTATCAAATTCTTTGATTTTGATAATTTACTTTCTATTTCAGATTTGATGAGTAGAGGTATGTTTATTATTTTTGTTGTATTCTTGATAAGAATACTATATTCTTTAGTAGATATTCTGTAGTAAACCATATCTTTCCTTTTAAAAGGATTACTAATAAATGAACTTGTCTTGAATCCCTTTTCTACTACAAGGTCCATTCCTTTTTATCTAATTCTTTTATGCTTACTTTTATCAAACACAGTTATTTGATTGTATTCTCCATATCTTTTATATTCTTCAAAATAAGCTTCTCCCTCTTCAACAATCGAATTCATTGTTACTACAAGTATCTAGACTCTCTACTTCATATATAGTTTGTTGACAACCACTTAAAAATTTCAAAATTTAAAAGAGAAGGACAAGACAAATAATGAAAAATTATTATTAAGTGTGAAAAATATAAAAGAAAATGAGTTGTCACTCCTTCAAATTATAAAGTGAGACAAGTCACCTAAAAAGGGTCTACATAAAGATCAGGATTCGAGGGTTCGGTTAGGAGTGGAGAAAAGCATACACGCACCTCACAATCCTTCGTTTAAACACGATTGCATAGTTTAACATTAGGATTTTAATTCAACCTATTCATTATATTTTTGTTTAAGTCTTAATAGGCAAACTAAAAAGGGGATAAACCAAATTGAAATATTTTTAAATTTTTGGACTAAAATAAACAAAATCAAGAACATGCATGCACCACAACCACAAACGAAAAGTTAAATGGAATGATTTGATTAAATCCTAAATATGAGGGATTGATTTGAAAAGATTTGCTTAATCATAAAATTCTGGGTAAACTTGAAATAAAAAGGTAATTTTTGACTTTGACCAAGATTAATGTTAATTGAAAATTAAAATTAATTAATCAAAGTAATTAGTTTAATTTAATAATTAATTTAACATTAATTCAAATTAATTAATCACATTTACTAATCATTAACTAAGATAATTAAATAAATCTGATTACCTCAAATCAAATTAAATAAATATAATTAATTTATTTTTATTAAAATTAATTAACTTCATTAATTATAAATTAAACTAACTCACTTAATTAATTAATAAAACTTTTAT